ATAATCATTAATTAATGGTTTAGTTCTTCATGTGTTATACATTAACTCAGTATTATCTGTGCATTAGTTAAGCATGAATTAATGCATATTAGTGCACTCGTATTGTAAAGTGTTACCATAAAGGAGTCACACTTTCCAAATCTATCTTTCCCGTTTGACTCTTCTAGATACGTACATTGGAAACAGTTAACATTAGAAATTTTTTTTACGCGATGTGAAGTCTCGTGATCTTATGTTGAGTTAAACATATATTTTTTATATTTTTCACATGTCCATTTAATGCATAAACAAACCGTTGTGACCATAGCAACCTGGGATTATCAGGAAGGGATATTATAGGCCCCAATATCCTATTAATTACAAGACGAAATAAAATATCTACTACATGCAGTGTTTTTTTGCAAGCAGTTAAAGGTGCTTTCATCCATTTTTTGCTGATTGAACGTTTTACACGAACGAATAAACATGCTTGAGAAAAATCTTTAAAATGGTGTTCACTCAGACGTAAGTGGAAAAACACAATGTCCAGACACGCGGCTCCTGCTGGATGAAACTACCTGCAATGACCTCAGCGTCCATCCATCTCCCACACACAGATCACACAGAGGATCGAGCGTGAACACACACCCGTCACAGCTGGCGCTGCAGGGAGAAACTCACAGTGCAATAAAGCAACAAACAAACCAGCTATGCACTAAAGGATGTCCATAATAGATGTGAGTAGTGTTGAAACAGAGAGAAATAACGGAATAAACATGCAGCTTCAACAAACTTCATACAGCCAGGCCAACAGGAGTCGCTAAAGAGTCCAAAACCAAAGTACTAGGACAAACAGAGCCCGTTTAACGGAGAGCCTTGGCACTTCCTATTAGCCCAACATGACATCATGACTTTTGCGTAAACATACACGCCACTTTCGAGTCAGGTGGCGTGTTATCACTACGCATTTTGAGCTATCCGCGTGTATCCGTGTGTATGCGTATATGTCTACGCCATTAACGTCCGCGTCATTCCGCGTGTCTGTACACGCAGTCAAATCTCCAGTCATAAATGCCATTAACCCCAGTGACGGTTAAGTTTAGGGACGGGGTTGAGGTAAGTCATATCTTTATATAACAAAGTCAACGGCGTTCGTAAACACGCTGAAAAGCGATTATGCGTCTTGATAGCACGCCAAAAATGGAAATACGAATTGCCGTGGCATACACACGCTACTTCATGAGATCAGTCTGATTAGCCCCGTTGTGTATCATCTTGGTTGCAGTTCCATTAGAATTCCACTGGGGGTGATCACGGGCGAGAGCAGAATGAATGGGAGTCTATGGGGCTAAACGGCTAAATGTGTCTCTTTCACCTGCTTGTCGTTAAATCAACATCGATTTTATTGTTGATTCCGCAAGTTCAATATAGATTATAGGCCAAAAGTCGAATGAACGAGTACTTATGTCCTTTTGATTCTTACAGGTTAGGCCGTTGTTCGCCAGAACACGCTAGCATTCTGCTATTGTGTGACATCATCACAGTTTTGAACGGATTTTTAGAACAGATACGTGAACTTAAAAATGCAATTTTCAGCTGAGTGTATTATCTTAGCCCTCCCTTTTGAATGCAACTTTCAAATTACTTGACAAAAAATTACATCCTGAGAAAAGTGGATTTCTGGGGGTGAAACTAACACATTGACTTGTGTTAGTGAACTAACGTAATGCTCGTTCCCAGTATATATTTTTTTACGCAAGTAACCATACACGATACTGTAGTAAGTAATAGTAATGAAATTGTGGTAATATTATTCAAATAAGCAAATTCAAATTCATAAGAATGAAATCGTTTAAGATATTAACTATACAAGTAAGACTGTTAATGTACAAAAATGAGGACTTGTTAAAGAATTTGAGCAGATTTCTGTTTGATGCTCCACTGAACAGAGAGTTAATTCAGGTTAATCTATGGTTAATCTTTAACCGATGCATTGAAAGAAGAAAGCTTCAGGGTCATGGAGAACATGCACCGCAAAAGCAAAAGATCTGAGTAAAAATGTTCCATATTTATTAGATACTCGTATCTTGTTGCTAAAGGATACAGTACGCACACACACACCAAATGATCAGAGGCAAAACAGAGTTGCATTTGCACGTTATGGTGTCAACTAAGACTAAACGATTAAACGCCCAAAGAACAGAACAAAACACACACACTGATCATTATGAACAAGACTTTTCTCCTCCCTCTGGTATTTCTTGGTTTCCCTTTGAGTTTTGCACAAATAAACAGGCTGACTGTATTTTAATGTGAATTTGTGAGTGTGTCTGTGTGTGTTCACGTTCAAGCAGTAATTATAGGCTGACAGCATGACCTTTTGGGTCAGTGTGTGTGTGTAAGTGTGTGTGTGCCACAAAACAATGACTACATCATGAGTAGGTGTAGAAAGCCACAATCCGCCGCTAAAACACTCAAAGAAAGTTTAAGACAAACTTTGAATGTTGGCTTGACAAATCTTAAAAGTGTGTATCGGCAGATGCTTTTGATTGTAACTATATGTTTTATGGTTATTGCATGTTTACTTCAGTGAGGGTGATGTCATCTCCTGCGCAGGAAGTCCTCCTGAAATATAAACCAATTAATTCCACTTCATTTTCCCACTATCCATAGGAAGTGATTGGTATTGACAGATGAAGTATTGGACGTGACAGCGCATAAAGACGGCTGATTTATTGCATTACACGGTGATTCCCTCAAGCCGTCAGCTGTGCGACTGTACGAGAGATGCTGAGATGATGTGAGCTGTAGATAATGGTTTCAGTGCTAGGCTTGGAGGAATGATGTTTGCTTTAAAGAATAAGACGTTATATCCCTCGCTGTAATGCTGAAAGGACATTCTTCACAAGAGAGAAAGTGACGCAACACTCCATGAACGTCATGTTAGTTGGTGGAGGAGAGCAAACAAGTCAAAGCTTGAGTGTGTTACTGACGTAGGCTACTCAACACACACACAAGTACCAAAAGTATGTCTATTTCTTACCATGATGTATCATTTATTAAATATGCTGTAAAAATCCCATTTTGTAAAAGCATACCCATAGTGAAATGTATTTAAAGTACATTTATTTTACTGAGTATACTACAAATATATAAATAGATATTTACAGACTTTGCTTGAGACTTACTGATAGAAATATTACAGTTCAACTTTATTTGACCAAAAAGTGTTTAGTATTAGTAGCCTATAGTGGCTATGATCACTGTATAGAGGGAATGCATTGACACGTGACGTGGCAACAGATCTGCTGCGTGACTGGATTTAATAGGGGAAACTGCGGAAATGCGACTAATTCGAACAATTTTATCAATTTAAACTAAATGTTGGAGTCGATATAGTGTTCCTTACAACTTACTAAAGATCCAGTGATCCATGGATATTGACATGCAGCCAGGAATCGTGTTGCCTGACATTTATGTTTGCCTAATTTCGACACCGGGGAAATAAAAGCAATATAGACCTAAATCTAAACTGTGAACGCTTTATATAAATATAATATAGGTCTAAATCCGGGTGATCACTTATATCAGTGTTATATATAGCCTATATATCATATCGTCCAGTCCTAAAACTTTATACGTTTTTTTGGTCAGTGTTTATATATATATATATATATATTAAAAAAATCCAATAATGCAGAATATTCAGGGTTTGTATATTAAGTATAGACCATTTCACAAGATGTAAACAACACTGGTCCAGAAGCACTTCCTGTTTCAGTTTTTTAACACTACATAAAAGCTGGGATAAAATACAACCAACAGAACATTTAAAACTGAATCAAAAAGTTAAACAAACATCTTTAAGATGTTTTCTTTACATGTGAAATAAAGAAAACAGTTACAAACTGAAACAGGAAGTGCTTCTGGACCAGTGTTGTTTACATCTTGTGAAATGGTCTTACTTATGTAGCCCCGCCCCTTTTCAGCGCTGCGCTCGTTGTCTTTTGTCTTCCTGTCTGTGTTTTCACTGCGATCTTGCCGAATGGCTCGTTTTAAAATCTGCCCGGTGTACTGACATTTGCTAAGACAATTGCTATACCTGCATGATAACTTTCGTTCACTTCACATTAATTAAATCCACTTCGAAGCGAATTACTCCCGATGAGACCGCAAAACCGGAAGTTCAAAGACCACATTCTAAAGATGGCGGCGCACTTGTTTTTCTGGTGCATAAGGTCTATTTGTAAATGTATTTGTAGTAGCCTATACTTAGCATAAAATGTATTTCAAATACATTTTACAAGGGATGTGGTTGTGAAACTGTGGATTATGTTCATAGTTAATTTGAAGAAACAGAAGATTTGTGTGCACAAGACATTTAGATTGATTTTACTATCAAATGCAATAACATTCTGAAAAAGTCAGACTTACTTTAGATTTCCAGAAGATGTGTTCGTCTTTTCTTCTCTATTAACGTTTCCGAACAACAACAAATGTGGACGGGGCTTGATTGTGTCTGTGTGGAATAGATTGGATGGTTGTGGTTTGCTATTGGCTGATCTCACGTGAGTGACAGGCTAAAGCCCCGCCCTCGTCATCAGAGAAGAGATGCTGCAAGAGGAACTCATTCTGATTCAACATTAATTTAAAAACAATGTTGTGCATCGATATATTACACAGCAATATTCAATAAAACATTTAAAAAAATTAGCTCGGAAAGTATGAATATGTCAATTATCTATTAGCTACACATCAAAGTGTCCTGCTATAGACCTATTCTTGTCACCTACCTTTACTTATTGTGTTTTATATTTTATTTTTATATTATGTGAAACATTATGCTGCGATAAAGAGTAGAATAGAACTAAAAAAAAAGCAGTTTTATGAATGAACCGAGTCTCGATAGCGTCACACTGCCCCCCTCAGGGGCAAACCCGCACTGCGCGCATGACGTTACACTCTCGAGCGCCTATAAAACACGCGCGCGCGAGTCTCACGCTTCACTCGCTGACCTCGGCCTGAATGGGTCACACTGATACACACACACACACACACACACGCACACCAGAGGAGCATCTTCAGGTTCCAGCATCCACGGGTATTCTGCAACAGGCGCATTAACCATCGGCTGCAGGTAAGACCAGGAACTTTTCTCTTATCTACACTCTCAAAGAATACAAAAGCTGTCACTGCTGGAACCCTTTCAAAAGGTGCATCTTTGTATCTAAAGTGTGCGTATTAGGTACATATTGGTACCAATAGTGTACTTAGCAGTATCTGAAGGGTACTGTACCAGTGACAGATTTTCTACCTTTTTTCTGTGCGAGTGTAACAGATGCATGATCATATTCATACAAACACTCTTAAAAATCAAGTTACCGGAGCAAGAAGAGGTTTTGAAGTGATGCCATTACAACCGTCTGTAATGGAAAGATCCCAGTGAAGCTCATGGAACCAGTAAAGGATGCGTATCGACATGCAATAATAGACCTTACCAGGTTGCATTAACATGCACTAAAACTAATAAGTTGTATTTTTTAGTTAACTTGAGTTTTAGTGCATTTTTACAGTAAATTACTGGCAACAGTGTTGCCAGTATTTTACTGTAAAAAACCTGGTAAGGTCTAACAGTGTGGTATTCCAGCACTCTACTGTAAAACATGTTCAGTTCACTTACTTAAAATGTTGTTGTAAACTTGTTGCCTTAAAATTATTACACTGAAAAAAATATTTTTGGTTTAACTTAAAAAATAAGTAACCTGGTTGCCTTAAAATTTTAAGTTCAGTGAAATGTAAAAATTGAGTTGATACAATGAAGGAGATTGATTTAATCATCAGAAACTCAAAATATTATGTTATCTGAACTACATAAATTCAGAGTTGATTTGACAAAAGAAAAAATGTTGTGATAACAAATCATGAAAATATAGTGCATCAGTCAGTGTAAGCGAAAAAAATTAAGTTATGTGAACTTGACAATTACATAATACTTACATTTTTTGATTAACCCATTTGTGCTCAAATATTTGTGTTAATAGTGTTCATATAGGGAACATGTTCTGCATTTATTTCTTCTTTTTTTTCATGAAAATCGTATCTGAATCAGCCAAGTTGCCGATGCTCTTGTGGGCTAAGCATGAAGTGTATTTACTTGATAATATTAAGGCAACGGGTTTCTTTAATCGTTCTAAGTTCAGTCAGCTGATCACGTTTCCCAGTGTTGTTATGAGTGTGTTATATGTGTGTGCGCAGGACAGAGGTTGTCATGAGGGCGGTGTGTGTGATCATCTTGGCCTCTCTGACGGTCCTCCAGTGTCAGGATCTGCCGGGCGAGAGCGACCCGTCTCTGGATGAACTCTTCCAGCGCGCCGAGACTCTCCTCATCCGCTCCATCCTCACTCAGATGGAGGACGAGAACAACGACAACGGTGCCGGCTTACATTCACGCTCGCTGTCACAACAAAAATACACATATAGCTACTTTTAATTGAAAAAAAAAAGGTACAAAAGCTGTCACTGGGACTGTATCCTTTCAAGAGATTCTAATATGTACCATTTATGTGCACTAATGGTACCAATATGTACCTTTGAGATACTAATATGCACACTTTAGGTACAAAGACGTACCATTTGAAAGGGTACCAGCAGTGACAGCTTTTGTACCTTTTTTCTGACCGTGAAAATAGCAGATAAACGAATAAACCAGGTAATAAAGCGGCTGCGATGTATGATAGAGATCGACCGAAGATGTATCCTTTTAATCAGCCTAGATTGCTTTTCTATGTTTGAATGTCGGATTATATTTAATCATCGTTTTGTTCTGCTTTTTGCCACAGTAATAACTTCACTAGACCACTTTTCCAAAAATATTAATATTTTTTACATTTATTATTAACAAAGGCACTGTAAAAAATAAAAAAAAATTGCTACCTTAAATTTTTAAGTACAATCAACTTGGATTTTTAAAGTAATCTCAACTTAAATTACATTAAAGTGAGTTGAATCTTGAATAATTCATAACAAAAGTACAACTTATTTTGATAAGTAAAAGCAGTGTAAAAACATATGTTGTCATAACTTCTGATTTTGACAGAGTAATAATTATAATGCTGATTATTATTACATTTATATTTATAAACTATGTATAAGGAACACACCAAATTTATTGTTCAACCCAAAATTAAAGTAAAACCCATAAAGCAAACAGTGATTCGTCTGTTTATTACATGTAAATCGGCAATAAATGCAGTCTGTGCGTTTTTGCTATCACTTTATCCGTGTCCTTGTAACACACGTACATGTACTTGGTAATAACAGTAAATGATGCATAATTACATGCCAAACCAAACACTTATTCAAAACTTATTATTACCTTGTATTACTTAAATGCAAAACATTTAACAACGTGTACTTATAGGGTTAAGAATGTGGTTTGGTTTATGGTATGTTGCATGTAATTTTACATAATTTACCGTTAAGTAAGTGTAACATGTTACAAGGAAAGTAAATTAAAGCATTACCAAAAAATGCACAAACTCAGGTTACACTTTATTTTAAGGTGTTTTTGTTGTAAAAATGAATATGACTGAATATGTTAAATCTAATCAATAAAATTGAGGCAACAGATTACAATCAATATTATTAATTGAATTTAACAAATTAAAATTGAGTAACAATTTACCAAATGAATTACCTAAAAGTTAACCATTTAAAATGAGTAGAATTTAAAACACATTATTTTTTTAAATATCGGAAAAACAAATAGAGTTCAGTGATTCAGGTCAAATGATTGTGAATTAATGATTATGTTAAAACACAACCTACACAATCAAATCACCTTTTCTATTTGTTCATCTGGCGTTTATAATTCACATATAACAGGCAAACAAACATCAAATGTTAAGGATTTAAGGGTCAAGAGCCGAGCTAAAACACACACTGATCTCCATAATGGTGACATAAAAATGACGGTTTTCTCCTTCAGTGTTTGTGCTTGTTATCATCAGGTGTCTTCAATGATGGCAATAAAAAAAGAGGCCTTAATTCATCTTTGACGTCAGTCTTTTATTCCGATATTTTTGTTTAGAAAAATGTCTAAATTTTGCTTTAAATGGTTAACTTTTAAGTAATTCATTTGGTTACTTATTACTCAATTCTAATTTGTTAAATTGCATGAATAATAGCCTATTGATTATAATCTGCCTCAATTTTATTGATTAGATTTAACATATTCAGTCGTATTCATTTTTACAGTGTATATTGCATGTGTATTTACAACTAGGGTTAGGGTAAATTGCAGGTAGTTATGCATAAATTATAGGCCTAGTTATTATTAGAACACTCTAGCATTACCAAATAAAGTGTAACACTTTTTAATGCGTTTATAATCACAAGTAAAATGACAAATAAAAGCGGGAATCACAACTCAAGCACATTAGTAGGTCATTTTTAAAGTGTAATTTTCGCCATATTTATGTTTAATAACATAATAGACGATCACTGTTTATAGCTAACGTTTCAAAGTAGGCTACGTGTAACGTTTAACAAGAACACTAAAATAAATGAAGTTGCACATTTGTAGCGTCCTGACCTGACATTTTTACACTGTATATTTTCTCCATATTTACTATCATGGTCGCTCGAAAGACGATGATCAAAACTTTTTTCTAAAGTTTTACACACGTGCGTAAATCCCTGTCCCTCTCCAGCAGAGCAGCTCGAGTCCCCGACAGACTGGATGGAGAAGAGGCAACACCCGGGAAAGCGGCAGCATCCCGGCAAGCGCGAGGACTACGCGGACTACGAAGACGACGCTCCGGTGTTCCAGAAGAGACAGCACCCCGGCAAGCGCGAGGACGAGGACAGCGCGAGGCTGAGACGACAGCATCCCGGGAAAAGACTATCCCTAAACGAGCCGATGATCCTGGAGGAACCGAGCGTGCAGACCGAGCTCTCCAAGCGACAGCATCCCGGGAAACGGTACCTGATGCTGCTCCACAAGCGCCAGCATCCCGGCCGGCGCGAGCTGCAGCCCGACGGAGACTTACCGGAGCTGGAGAAGCGTCAGCATCCCGGGAAGAGACTGTGTGAGGACTGGGATGAGCCGGGATGCGGGCACGCTAGTATTCTACTCGAGCTTCTGGATAACGCCAACAAAAGTCGCGCCGAGGAGAAGCGACAGCATCCCGGGAAACGCCTCGAGTTAGAGGCCGATCTGACGGAACAAGAGTAGTGTGAAGAAGACATGCTGAAAACGGATGAATAAGTGTGTGTGTGCGTTGCTTTCCACAGCATCCGAATTATGGAAACGCGCCATGTGTTTTATTGCGTTTCTCATTCAGCCCGATCATGAATGTGCGAATCTGAAGCACGAGTTGTATGTGTGCAAAAAGAGTTTTTACGTGCATATGATACGCACTGTTGGGGAGGGTTAGTGTATCAGAGATAGCCTACACGCGAAAACTTCGTATCATATGCACTTTTTTTTTTTTTTTGCGTATAAACTGCACGATAAATACAATCCGTGCTATAGATACACACTTTCATGAGATCGGACTGGTTAAAACGGATGAATAGCCTAAGTGTGTGTGCGTTGCTTTCCATCGCATCCGATTCATGGAAAATGCATCATGTTTTACCGCGTTTCTCATTTTGTTGAAGTAAAGGGTGTTTTCGAAAATCTCCTTTAACTGCGTCCTGGTGCCTCGTTGTTCGTTTCTTCCCCGGTGTGCGCGCGACACCTTCAGTTACACTTTGTTTTTGGCCGAGCTAGATCCCCATTGTTCTTGCACTAGGTCTATTTTGAGAATTATTTCCGTAATGCATGTGATCAGAAAACTCCTCCAAAGACATTCCAGTGTAAATCTCATTTACTTTGGGTCGCAAAACAATGAAACGGGTTACCGAAATATTTTTCTACCGTATAGGCTATAGCTTAGTTCTTGCATGACCTGACCTGTACATTTTCATGATTTAGCCTATTTTTGTTCTATATTGATAAAGAGCATATAAATGACAATGATGTTGTACAATAAAATGCTTTCGAATTGCGAATGTCTGTTTATTGGGTTTGAGCGTAAAAACAATCACGAGGAATCGTTGTCACATTCAGTTTTTACATTTTAAAACTACTGTAAAATGGCTTTTTTTGGTCACTTATATTGCCTGAATATTTATGAGACAAAAAGCCTTGAAAACAATATAAGGCAGTGTCTTTTAAGGCTACGAGTCGCACAGAAGGTTTTTTAGATTATTAGTGGATATTTTAATAACAGGTTCCTCAAACGCTTCTTTACGGCATCATCGCCCCTTTTGGATCCTTTCATGGGTTATCAATGCAAATAAAGAGATACATTCATAAAACCATGAAGCACAGAACCTCATGAGAACATATTTGCAGATAAAATCTACCGTTCATAGTGAATTAAGTCTTGTTTAATTGTGTTCACTTCTTTAACCAACAGATTTCACTAAAGGAAGCGGTGACGCTTTACAATAAGGTTCATTAGTGAAGTTAACATGAATAAAGAATGAACAGCATTTATCAATCTAATATTAATTTCCACATTTACTAATAGATTATCAAAATCAAAGGTTGTATTTGTTAACATTAGTTAATGCATGTGAACTAACTTGAACAAATAATGACCAGCTGTATTTTTATTAACTAATAAAGATTGATAAAAACTGTAACATTCAGCATAACTGTATTTCTCATGTTAGTAAATACATTATTGTAAAGTGTTACCAAGGAAGCTGAGATCGGAGGACAGAATTCACAAGAAATATTCTTCGTGTGTGTGTGTGTGTGTGTGTAAGCATCATCAGTGTATATGAATGTGCCGCAGACATCAGAACTTCAGAAGCTCTGGCTTCAAGGGAGCTGGAGTCCATGGGGTGTGTGTTATGTGTGTGTGTGTGCCTGTGTGTGTGTGCCTGTGTGTGTGTGCCTGTGTGTGTGTGTGTGTGTGTGTGTGTTATGTGATGTGTCCAGTGATGTGTCCATGGGGTGTGTGTTAATCAGCCTTTACTTCACGGGGAGATTGAGAGACGTGGGAGGATGGATCCGCTGCTCCAGCTTTCAGATCAAGCCTCCATCAAAAGGCACAATAAACATGTCACACAATTATCATCAGACTTTTATTTTGAACTTATTGCGTCTCCTAAGTTGAACTTTTAGCTAAGAAGAATAAATGAGTGTATAACGCTCATGAGACCTGCTGTAGCCAAACTGTGTGTGTTTGAAGCCACTCAAAAACTACAGAATTTGCCATTTTAATTTTAATTGACAATATAAATGCATGATCTGTAGATATAAGTCTGTATATTCGCATAAAATTACTTTATTTTCTTGGAGTTTGTTGCCGTTTTTAAACGACTCACTACCGTGTTCTGTTAGATCACACATACATATCACAAGGATTATGAATCGGCATCAAACGCACAATAACTGTGAAACAAAGGAACAAATCGCACTTGGATTTGTGCGCTCAACATTTCTTCGATTTGTGACATGAGCTTTTAAATGCACACTTATAAAGCGCAGTGCTGCTGCACACTGTGACTCCATGTTGCTTAGAGCACATCATTCTGCACCCGCGATGCGCATACACGCTGTGTGCTCTCTGTTTTTCATGTAATCATGGGTTTGCGCACTGAAATATTATTAAAAGCCAATATATTTTGTTATACCTAGCCTGCTCAATACATTTTAAATAAGCATAATTTAATTGTATATAATTTATTTGTAGTTTAGGCTATGCACTTCTGAATTCTTGACATTAATATATAAATATAAAATTGTGACATGATTGCCTGATTGAATTTTAAAAGAGAACTAATAGTAATTTGTTTTTATTAACATATTTAGATTTTATAAAATTACTGTGCAGATTTTTTCAAGAATTACTTTTTGCTGCTGATGTATTAAAAATTCATAATACATTTATGTAATATATTCAAAGGTGTTAACTGTAATCTTACACTGCTAACTAATAACTTAAAACGGATTTAATTCATCACAATTATGTAAGTATCTGGAAATTTGCTGTGGGGCAAGGACCCTTATATATCATATAATATCATTATATACAATGTAATATATATTAGTTGGGCCCTACTAAGATCATTAGTAACATTAAATATTACACAATAAACCAAAGTATATCAGTAGGAGTTTCCTTAAGTCTTTCTGATAGTTTTCTACAGGCTGGTTTATTACAACAGTAGAAAACAATTCTGAAATTATGGTTTATACTGTAGTTTTGGTAACTGTAGTTTTAACTGGCCCCATCTGGCCACCCCTACGAAAAATTTCTGGAGGCGCCACTGGTTTCAACATTTGAAATGCTATCCTTGGGTTCGATTTCACTTGCAGCACAATCAAATTCTTCCTGTAGCTTCTCACACCATTTGCATACCACAGTGCTGAATTCCACAACCCATATCATTTTTGCTTTGAACCATGTTTCATGCCGGTCTTTCTCTTCATCAGGCAATAATGCAATCAAAGACTCGTGTGCTTCTTTTCATTGTGTTTCAAACTTTTCAAACATAAAACCTTTGACCTCATTTTCATTTTCTCTATTACTCATTAACTCTTGGATTGTCTTTTTTAGTTGGGATGCTTTGTCAAATTTTGACTTTCTTTTTCGAGTTTTGCCATTAACCCTTTTGCAGTAAGCGTAACCTCGCGTTTTCGTACGGACAATTCAACATTTTCAACCTCTGCTTTCTGAATCGGAGCCCCATCTTGCTCGATTTCAGGAAACTCACTTTCATCATCCGCCATTTTTAAACCTTTACTAACTGCATATTTTACATCATAACCATCAGCTTAAAGTGTAATCATTAACAAACACAATTAAGCATTTCACAAACAGTTCAGTACTTCGTTTCACAACCCCCCCCCCCCCCTTTTTTTTTTTTTTTACCACCAATGCGCATTGGATTTGTCTTTGTTTGTATGTGTGTGCACCTTAAATATATATATAGTCATTTGACTCAAGTTCAAGTAAAAGCGCTTTCATACCTCAGTTCCAACGCTGAAGCCTTTGTTGTCCTTGTGCTCCGTTTTCCTCGTTTTGCACGTGCAGGCTTGTAGTCCTTCGAAATCCGCGGCGATCAATCCCATGCAATAATCAACAAAGGAATCCATAAAATAATCCAACAAACGGTCACGAATGAATGAGCCTCCTCCGACTTCAGATCAGCTGACTTTTCCTGTAGTCGTCCAATTCGATCTGCTCCAGTCGATGTCGATATATCCTCATTCCGTCTCCTTCGGTCAAACTTTTTGACTTAATGTACTGAGGCAGATGGTTTCATTGTCTGTTTCTGACGCTTGCTTATTTTTTGACTCAAATAAATAAATGTCCATACCTTCAGATTCAATTTCTGATAAGCCAAATCCTTTTATTGTCCATTTGGCTTTGCAAACAACAAAATAAGATTAAAATAAAACACTAAACCAAAAATTGTGATTCAAACATACAGGCATGAGCACAATTCTACTCTCCACATAGCACAGCACGTTCAAAAAGTTTGTTTGACCTTCCATCAGCGCACCTGTTACTCGTTATCACCCCACTTAAATATACTCAAAATACTAATACGCCCTCTAGTGTCACAAACAAAAAATACAATTCAAAATAATGGCTCCAACAAATACTATTTTATTTTAAAAAAAAAAATCCATATCATGCTCTATATATTTTAAATTAGCCTACATGCTAAAAATATTTGAACGGTAAAGCAAATTACTTTACCTTGGAATGTGTAGCCTAAATCATGTTTGTTTATTGAACTTGAAGATGAAGCATTTATTCTAATGCTGCGGATCTTAAAGGAATAGTTCACTTCAAAATGATCATTCTGTCATCATTTACTCGCCATCGAGTCGTTTCAAACCTGAATGAGTTTCTCTCTTCTGCTGAACATGTTTTGAAGAATGTCCATAACCAGACAGTTTAATATCCTGACAGAGAGTGTGTATCCCTTGTAACGCAGTCTCATCCCAACACGTCATAGACCATTTTGCAAGATATAAACAACACTGGTCCAGAAACACTAGTTTAGTTTGTAACTGTTTTCTTTATTTCACATGTAAAGAAAACATCTTAAAGATGATTCAGTTTTATATGTTCTGTTGGTTGTATTTTATCCATATTTATGAAGTGTTAAAAAAATGAAAGTGCTTCTGGGCCAGTGTTGTTTACATCTTGCAAAATGGTCTATAGCTGACGTCTTGGGACGTCTTTTGAGCATACGTCAACATCCGCCGAATTTATTGAGATAATTATATATACAAAATTCTTGACAAGAAAGAAACTTTTAAACTGGCGTTATTTTCCTCCGAAGCACTAGGTGTCGAAAGAACATAACTCTGTCTCTGAGCTTCTGTAGTAATACCATGAGTAATACCATACCAGTGTTTACACTATAATGTGAATCATTTAGGTTGATCTGATTCTGAAAATGTAGTTTTTATTTGTTTGGCGGTTTATCCCGCGGTCATGGAAGTCAGCTAAAGTGAATCAGTTCAGCGCTCTTGAGAGAATCATGTTCTAAACACGGAGGACGCGCCACAGTATCGTAATAACCGAAGTATTTACTGTTTGTTTGCATTGTGTGCTTGAGAATGTCGATATCTGAGGCGCAGAGAGCATCGGGCTGGAGGAGAGAGATAAGAGTGAGACAAAGCGGTAAAACAGCGGGGAAAGTCGATGTCTACATCATCAGGTGTGTGTTTTGTTGTCATGCGAGAAACGAAGCTTTTCAAAGAATCGAATCAGTTGATTCACTGTTTCGAAGTGCTCGAACGCTGACTCCTGCTGGCCAAAGCCGTGTAAATTCAACAAAACTACTCTTTTTAATTATAATACTGTCTCATTTAAACGCATGTATAAAATTGATCAGCGATCAGGACAGGTAAACCATAGACTAGTCACTAGTGTAAACCCATGGATGACACTTCAATGGTTCTCCGCTGAGAAGCGAGTGAATCATATGATGACGGGCTCCGGAAAGATTCGAAACAAAAGATTCGTAAAGGTTAGGGTTCAGGGAGGTTCAAACTGGGCTTAAACAAGTGTTATTAAAATAAAAACTGATTTATCAATAACAAAAAAAAAGTAAAAAAAAAAAATAATAAATAAATACATTGAACATTACTATAGTGAGTTGAAAAAATAATGTAATGCTATAGAAAAAAAATATTTTAAATAATAGTTTTCAGTGGATAAATTCGGGTCTTTTGCATATAAATAAATAGCTGCTTTTTAAATTCTAGGAAGGCTCTGTCTCATGAAGATGATTACATTTGCCCTCTAAAAGATTGAAAAGCCCGGATCAGCATCGGATTATTTAAAGGTGCAGTAAGCGATTTCTGAGAAATGCTGTTGATATTTGAAGTCGACACTCAAACAAACACACCCCTCCCTTCATTGCTCGGCCCCCTGTTGCTGATTGGCTACAAGAGTGTTGTGGTGCTCGGTCTGATTGGTCTGCTCCACTTTAGGTGTGTCATTGAAGCGTAGTTTGACCTGTTTATTTGCATTTATTTTTACATTGGGTGTGAATGTACACTGTGATTGTGAATCGGATGTGACTCAGTGACTCTCTCAGTCCTCAGGGCAAGATCTTCCGATCCAAGACTGAGCTGCACAGATTCCTGCTCTCACAGACAAACGTGGAGCTGCAGATCAGCGACTTCGACTTCTCCGTGTCTGCGACTCAACGAACGAGAAGGACCCTGAAAGAGGAAGACCGCGCTGAAGTGACGGCAGATGAAGACGTGTGCGAGCGCCGAGACGAGAAGAGAGAGATCGGAGACGAACGAGTGAATCGATTGAACCCGACTGTAGATGAACATTCAGACATTTCTGCTCCAGAGAGCCAAGAACACGATGGGTTGGAGACGACCGGAGGAGGTGAGGAGGAAAACCAGAGCCGGAAACACACAGACTGTGTGTCGCCTTCCAGAAACTCAGAGAACGGTGAGGAATATGAAGAACACCACTCCTGTTTATCGGGACACATTTAACCTTCATCTTTGTAACAAAACTTTGCCTCGCGGGTCAAAATGACACAAATCATGTTGAATTTTGTTTTTAATATTTTTTTCCCTATTTTTTATGCAATTTTTTTTACCTTTAAATTACTAGATTTGATCAATAAAATAATAAATAAATATTAATTTAAGCACATTCCTCACATTCTTTCAATTTAAATAAAAAAATAACATGCATAATCCTTTTAATTCAGCTCAAAATATCTTACTTTGTGTGTGTTTGTGTGTTTTTTGTGTATTCGTGGTTCAAGTGCGACAAAAGTCCTGTGGTCTTAGACTCCTCTGATGAACATAATTTTTGTAATTTATTTTTTTAATTACCAGAGGGAAGGGTGTAATCGTGTAAAAACATGGTCATTTTTAATAGCTCTGTAATCTTTATCTTTTTAGGGTTGAAGTTATTTGCAGAGAAGCGGAAAACCAGTCCGTACTTCAGTAGAGGGAATAATGGTAGGTCTCGACTGAGTGAAACTGTGACGTTTTGATCCAGATCCAGCCCACATCTGGACTCAACGCGTGCCGCATGTGGGCCGGATCTGAGCCGACTCTATGCTGCTGTTTGGGTTAGTAGTGGCCAAAAGTGCGGTCCATGGGAAAACTGACATCCTCACCAGTTATTCAAATAATATTGAAGATTGTGTAAGCATATTTAATAGTTTTATTTGTGATAACGCAGTGAAACATGATAAATTGTGCAAAATAATTTAGGCCAGGCTGTCTTTCGAGGAGGTGAGACGATACACTTCACTCACGAGAAGATGTTTTAACACTATTTTTAAGAAATTTTCTAAGATGAAATATAAGAATGGAAAAATAGTCTTTTATTCGTCTGAAAGTCACTAAATATAATTTTTGAAATGTTTCACCTAATCTAGGGGTTTGACTAACGATTATTTTGGTAATCAAGTAATCGATCGATTATTTTGACGATTAATTATATTTTTGTGTTAATCACAATAGACCTAAGTGAACAATTGCCTTTAAAGTGAATTAAAATGCATATAGAATAAAATGAGGCCACTGTAATGTCATGTTAATTAGCGCAGTGCTTCACTCTTAAACACACAGCGCATATATTTATTTCACTGAATAGCAGTGTTTGTGATGCTTTAAATGCTTTTAATAAGTCGCACCTGACTGGACCAGCCAAACTATGAAAAAAGGGCAACTTATAGTCCGAAAAATACAGTATCTCTCTCTCTCAGTGCATCGACTCAAAATCACACACTATGTAACCATAAAAAAATCTCTTCTAATTCATTTTTGAACACAAATCCTGATGAGTAATAAATATTTCTATAAATATTTCTCTGTCAGCTCTGAGCCGGCCGAAACGCAAGGCCTTGAGGAAGTGGACTCCGCCTCGCTCACCCTTCAATTTGGTGCAGGAGACGCTCTTCCACGACCCCTGGAAGCTCCTGGTGGCCTCCATCTTCCTCAACAAGACCAGCGGTACAGCAACACACTCATGACACCTGTGTGTATCACCTGACCTGACGTCACGTCGACTCATTCTAATGTGGAGATCTGAAACATTTATGATCATGTTTATTATTAATATTCAAAACAGTTACAGATAGACAGTTCAAAAGAACAACATTTATCTGAAATAGAAAGGCTTTGTAACACTAGTACAAAAAATCAATACTTTTATTAATCAAAGATGATTTAAATGGATCAAAAGTGACAGTAAAGACATGTTACAAAAGCTTCTATTTCAGATAAATGCTGTTCTTTTGAACTTTCTATTCATCGAACAATTCGGAGAAAAAATGTACATGACTGTTTTACACATTGATAATAATTATGAATGTGTATTAGAGTGATTTCTGAAGCATCATGTGACACTGAGACTGGAGTAATGATGATAAATACAGCGAAATCACAGGAATAAATTACATTTTAAAATATAATATTCAAATAGAAAACAGTTATTTTAAATTATAATAATATTTAACAATATTACTGTTTCAAAACTTTTAAACGCCAGTGTATATTTATGCATTTGGCAGCTTTTAACTGCAATCAAGGTACACGTTGAATTTGATCGATTCACGTTTCCCTGGGAATCGAACCCATGACCTCGGTGTTGCAAGCAATGACACCGACCAACCTGTGTTGAGATCAGTTGTAATACATGATGGATGCGCATGTGATGTTCTGTGTTCCTCTTCCAGGTAAGATGGCGATCCCGATGCTGTGGGAGTTTTTCCAGCGTTACCCGAGCGCAGAAGTGACCCGCGCGAGCGACTGGAGGCCTGTGTCCCGTTTACTGAAGCCACTGGGTCTCAGTACCATCCGCGCCAAAACACTCGTCCGCTTCTCTGGTGCGTCCGCTCTATAAAATCACATATACATACATGCATACATAATAGAGCCAGACCGATATATCGGCCGATATTAGGCATTTTCCAAACTATCGGTATTATAATGTCCGATAAAGTAATATTTTAAAAATAAAATAAAAATGGACGAAACACGCTTGATCCATGTCACGAGTGTTGGAGTTGTATAGTTTGTCCACCAGAGGGCACTCTACACCGTTCCTGTTGGCAACACTCGTTGAGTTGGTCACGAGACATGCATTGCTTGAATAACAATTGAAAAAGAACATCCCCATCAGTTCTCTAAACTCAAATAAGCATGACAAAATTTGTGACTATCATGTCCAGTTTTGCTGTTAAATAAGCCGAGAGTGAAGCGGGATTAGCTAGTAATAGTTACGTTACGTTGTTACAGTGTAGTTGACTGACTGTCCTTTTAACTTTAGACAAACGTGACTGAAGTATTTCTTTAATAGCGCGTGACAGTTACAGCAATGAGACGTATCATCTGTTATATTGAAAATGTATGTTTTACAATTTGCAGTATGTTATCCATTGCTAAATTATGGCTCATCATAGACTAGCTAACCACAAAGCTAGCTAACGCCACTATCATCAGTCTGTTCTGTTGTGACAATAAAATAAACAAGTTTTTTTAATAAAATGTATTATCATATTATTTTAGTTAAAACTCATAAATAACTACAAATAACTCATGTTAGGGAAATCTGTTAATGTTTTGTTGCGCGTTTCTGAAATAAATAAAAAAATATCGTCCGATATATCGGATTATCGGATTTTAAAACCAACAAATATTTGTATCGGTAATACGGTATCAACCTTCAAAATCCTTTATCGGTCGGGCTCTAATACATAAAACATGTTCATTACACGTACATACATACATACACATAAACAGAGGTTAATTCAGGGTTAGACTGTAGTGATTTATCTATATTCAGAATATATATCTATGGAAGCTTGTTTCTGTTGATGAGTACAAAAAAAATCACAATGCTGACTGTTCTGCCAAAATTGTGAGATATAATCTTGACAGAAGTGTGAGACAAAATGCCGCTTGTTTGTCATAAAAATTGCAGAATTCCTAGAAAGACAAAATTGTCAGATTAAACATGAGTTATAAATGTGTAATTGCGAGAAATAAATACAGATTTGCGATGTAAACTCAAAATTGCTAGTCATATACCGCCGGTACTCAAAAGTTCAAATATGTGACTTGCAAGAAAAGTCAGAATTGCGAGATCAAATTTGACCTTTTTTATATTGTCATTGTTCAGAAAAAGTCAGAATTGTGAGATTAATAAATTACCAATTCGCTTCTTTGCTTATTTCCTTCTGGAAACAAACTTCCATATAAAATGAAGTGTATTGCGATTGGTTTTCTTGGGCTGTGTTGATTGGCGTAGCGAGTGTGTGAGGTTTCTCTCGTTTGTCAGACGAGTATCTGAGTAAATCCTGGCGGTATCCCATCGAGCTCCACGGCATCGGGAAATACGGCAACGACTCGTTCCGGATCTTCTGTGTGGAGGAGTGGAGAGAGGTACGAACTGCTGGAACCCCACCGGCATTATCATGACATCATACAACAACACTCAGCTGTAGGACATCATCACGTGTGTGTGTGTGTGTGTGTGTGTCCTGCAGGTGACGCCAGACGACCATAAGCTCAACGACTATCACGCCTGGCTGTGGAGAAACCAGGAGCGCTTAGGAATCTGATTTTACTTATTTTAATAACCCAGAAGTAGCATGAGCGAATCAGGGATTTACTGTTTTAAGTGTTTCATCATGTTTGTTCATCAGTTCAAGATGAAAGATGTGTACAAAATAAAGGAGCTTCTTATCTTTTGTACATGCTTTGGATTTAATGACGCCAGTGTTAAACGGTATCCAGAACCCAGTTATTATAAATATATGTAATATATTTCCTGAAAGAAACTACAGTTGATGACGGGCAAAGCTCGCACTCCTCTTCCATAGGGAGCTGACTGGATGCTGGAAAAGATGATGGGGTTTCGGTTAAAAGTGTTGCCAACTGTTTTCAATGGAGAGTTGCAAAAGTCTGCTTGAAAAGTGTCGCCAGATGACGTCATGCACCGGTTTGCATATTTGTCCCAGATAGCAAACTGACATTGAATCAACGTGGAAACTCTCATGACATTGAAACAACGTTGATTTTGCTCATCGAATTAACGTTGAACCAACGTCAGACGCGGCATTCTTCAAAGCTAAATGAAAATCGAAAATTGGTTTGCTTTCATAACGTTGAAACAACGCGTTGATTTCAAGTTGATTTTCCGTTAGTTTTGAAAGAATGACGCGTCTGACGTTGGTTCAACGTTAATTCGATGAGCAAAACAATGTCAGATCAACGTTGTTTCGATGTCAGTTTGCTATCTGGGGTGGCATCACAATCACATCATACAGTTAAAACAAAATGTATTCAGACTCCTTCAACTTTTCTCACATGATCAGTATAGTTTATGAATATGACAGAACTAAATATGACGGAAGCCCTGAACCGCAACCTAAAAAAAAAAAAAAAAAAAAACCCTCGCATTTCGAGATTAAAGTCGAAAAATTTCGAGATGCCAAATTTAATCTCTGTATGAAGAATATTTGTCTATAATACGTCATATTTTACTTTATTTTGCTCTCCTCACTTACAGAAACGAACGATCAAAACATACAAATATTATATCGGGTTTCTGAATGATGTTTGATTTGACTGTAGCCTGTAACGTACTTCTGCCTAATGGCAGTTTACATCGGGTTACTCTTTTAATCCAAGCACACACTTAATATGATGTATAGCCAAATGTCCAGGAAAGCTGTTCTCATTTACACATTTTATTCCAAAAAGTCTAAATATAGCAACTGTTACGTGCAGGGCCATTAAGAGCTCACTGGCCCCCCCCACCACTTTAGGTCACCAACTACATGAGCTTAATGTTATATTATTATACGAGTCATTTTATCCATCTATGATATACTTCACGGTTGCAACCCGGTATCACGACAAGACGTGAAATGATCACGTTGGTCCACTTTGGAAAACGTGTAGATGTCACGGTTTAACCCCCTCAAACGTGAAACTTACACGTTTGACCTATTCTACACGTGTAACACGCCCGCCGTCCGACTGGCGTTGCTGCAGTTAATTATTGCTGTTTAATAAAACAAGGAGACAGACAAAGATGTGCTGTTGAATGCAGTCTGAGTCGCTCTGTAATGGCGGCTTCTTCTCCGCGACTCAGTTACTCGCATAGTCCCCGATCAGCACACTGTCTCCACCTACTGTCCACCGTGAGTCTCACTCCTCACCAATTCAACACAATAACAGTAATTGAAACAATACCATAAACACAATAAAATAAAATAAAATACATACAGAAAAATGTAATTATTCCTGTGACAATACATACAGGGTGTCACACACGCAATCGCCGCTGCCATAACGACCTATTGGTTTTCATTAAACCGAGAAAAAATGTAATTTTGTTTTATTGACGATCACTGAGAAATGTTCTATTAGCCTAATTAAAATGCAAAAAAGTATTATTTTCAAGGTGAAAATGATTCATTTGCCTTGATCCACGCCGAAAAAAACAAAAATGTCACGTTTTAATGAAGTAATTAGCCAAATGAGTAAAACGTCTATTTTTCCGGCGTCCCCCAGCTCCTCGTTTAAGCAAAAGGTTCGCTAAAACAACGCATTACATCGACGTTAAACCACGTTAACCGTGTTAACCACAACCTTTTAAATACTCGACCTACCGTGGAAGAAACTCCTGTAACTTCAGTGCCGTTAGCACCTTAGTGCTACAGATTAGGAGACATTAGTGTGTTCGCTGCATAGGTTAACATCCGGGTATCTCTCCACTGGAATGTGTTAATGCAAACGTGAAGGTTTCACGTTTGAAGGGGTTAAACCGTGACATCTACACGTTTTCCAAAGTGGACCAACGTGATTATTTCACGTCTTGTCGTGATACCGGGTTGCGATATATTATCGCCAGTCCAATTAGGCGAAGAATAGAGTTTAATCAAACACAAAAGCAAAATTATACATCCATCAAGTTAATATTCAAACTTACCGAAAGTGTTTACAGGGAGGTGAGGGGTTGAACAACACGCTGAATGACCAATCAAACAGGACTAAACCAAAAGAAACTTATTTCATTTTTGATATAAAAACATTATCTGCAATTGTGTGTGATTCTGATTTCATCATAATCTTTAAAAGAAGAGATGCGAACTTATTGTTCTGTTGCTTGGAGGCGCATTGCATTCACTTGAAGAAAAATAATCTACTCTGTTTTTCTGAATTAACAAGTTAATTTTTCATGAGAAAAAAAAAATTGCTCTGTTTTTCTGAATTAATGAGATCATTTTTCATGAGAAATTTTTTTTTTTGCTCTGTTTTTCTGAATGAATGAGTTAATTTTTCATGAGAAAAAAAGTTTTTGCTCTGTTTTTCTGAATTAACGAGTTAATTTTTTATGAGAATTTTTTTTGCTCTGTTTTTCTGAATTAATGAGTTAATTTTTCATGAGAATTTTTTTTGCTGTTTTTCCGAATTAATACGTTATTTTTTTTGTGAGAAAAAAGTTTTTACAGAGCAAAAAAATCCATGAAAAATTAACTCGTTAATTCAGAAAAACAGAGCAAAAACTTTTTTCTCATAAACTCGTTAATTCGGAAAAACAGAGCAAAAACTTTTTTTCTCATGAAAAATTAACTCATTAATTCAGAAAAACAGAGTAGATTTTTTTTCTTCAAGTGAATGCAATACGCCTCCGTACAAAACAATGCCAGATCAACGTTGTTTCGATGTCATGAGACGTTGTTTCCACGTTGATTCAATGTCAGTTTGCTGTCTGGGTGTCACCAGTTAAAAAAAAATGAGTAGAGCCAGTCAATTAAACAGGTTTTTAATGAAATCAGTGTCCTCCACCCTAACAACAGACTCACTAAAACATAATTCACATTAAGGCTGGCCGCAGTCTCAGCTGTCAATCATTACAGGGCAGATTCACACCGGGAGAAAATAAATATGACAAACAAGATAAATAGAAGCTGTGATGAAATATTTAAAGCATGCACACACACACACACACACTGAATCGTCTGTCCTGAGACTGAAGACATGACTGAAGGCCACGTGTGCTGAACACACTGAAGGTGAAGAACTCAATCACATTCATTACTGCTTTCTGCCCATTGCATATTTAAAACAGGGTTCCCATGACAACACAAAGAGTTCAAATGGGGATTTCCAGCTATACTAACGCAATCTACAAGTTTTAGAAATGAGTAGAAATCAATAGATTTTTTGAACCAGTTTCAATTGGTCTGGAATCAAAAAGAATCATTAAAGAAATCTACATCTAGAGATCAAAGAATGTGGGAACCCTGCTGAAATAAATCAATCGATTTGCCATAAAACACACACACGCCTCATTAGAGATAAAACACACTGACATCTTCCGTGACAGTGTTGCATTCATGCATTTGGGAATGTTGCTTCTCCTCTGAAACCTTTTTATAAATGAATGGTGCAATTGTTATAAATTAATTAGTATTCATGTATAAATGGGATGTAAATAAGGAATAGTTCATCCAAAAATAAATGTCCTGATTATTTACCCACCCGTGGGCCATCCAAGATGAGCATGACTTTCTTTCCTCAGCCAAAGAGAAATGATGTTTCTCCATCTAATGCGAGTGAATGGGGTGAATCTTTGTCTAGTTTTGTGAAGCACATCCACGAGATGGTGCTTTGTGTGTGTGTGTGTGTCGATTGCTTATCAATTCCGATTCATATTGATTCGTAATTTTGATTCCAATAAGGTAAAAAAACAAAACAAAAAAAACAAACAGAAATCAACAGGCTAAAGAACACTTAAACAAGGAGCGTTTGCCCGTGGTTTAAATACACCACAGAAAAAACTAGCCTGACTAATATAAATATAAATTAAAAAGAAGAATAAAAAATGAGCAATCGTAACAAATAAATACAAGCGAACAAAGATACGATTGAAACACTGTTTTAGATTGTCAGGGAATGTTCTCTTTGTCTTTTGTTAGATTAGCGTTATAGTGACGGCAGCAGGAATATCAGCGCTGTCACTTTAAGAGCCGCACCGATCCAATATACTGATACACATACGGTTTAAAATCACAGCGAGCGAATCGTCGTATTAAAATATTCACAAAGAAATCGTTGAGAGGAATGGAAATTACAATTTTACAACAAGTATCCGATTCCTGAACTTCAAGTATTTTCAATTCCCGACCCTACGCGTGACGATTGTGTCAAGAACCACCCCATTGTTTACAAAAGGAGTTTACATCCAGGTTCCACACACCAAAACTATTTTGGCAATAAACTGAAACAAATGCTAACAATCTGCTTTTTTTAACGTGTGACTTTCCCAACATACATATGTCATGCAAAAGGTCATGAACTCCAGCGACTCGTGGACGCGCTTCGCAGAGCTGGACTAAGGCCAACATTTGTAGTCATATATGTATATGTGTAAATTAAATATATATGAAGAGTTCAGATGCAAAAGCCTCTAAATGCCATTTGAAATTTTCTTCTTTAATGATGATTTTTATCAAACGTGTATATTTAAGTTCAGTAATTTCACTTAAATAACAATTAATAGGTAATTATCATTGCCATTTAAGTGAAATTACTGAACTTAAATATACAAGTTTGATAAAAATCATCATTACAGAAGAAAATTTCAAATGGCATTTAGAGGCTTTTGCATCTGAACTCTTCATATATATATATATTTATTTTTTTCTGTAAATGACTGATGGTTTTGCTAGAGAAAGACCCTGGGGTCACGCTTCGAAGCCTAAAGGTCCTTACACACCGAGTCCGAAATTTTGTGGCTCTGAATTGCCAAAACACCATTTGAAGGGCAGTGTGCAAGCGTGATTGACATAACGTGAGGTCGTATTTATTTTTTAACGTGCAAAAATGTCGGACAGGAATTTCGGTCTCAGTGTGCAAGAGGCTTAAGGGTCGACGTTGAGCCCCATTCACTCACATCAGATCGTTTTCCTCCAAAACCTTCATCTCTCTTTGGCTGAGTAAAGAAAGTCATGAACATCCGGGATGGCCTTTAGGGGAGTAAATAATCAGGAAATGTTTATTATAACCTGAACTATTCCTTTAATGTTGTGAGAGTGCCAATACATCCATGCCAACATATGTACAGTCTTTCTCCCTGAACGGGTTGCGCACGTCTCCATATCCCTTCGCTGACCGTGTGGCGTCTCATAGAGCTGTTGAAACACAGTGTTGTAAAAGAGCTTTTCAGCAGCAGCGTCGTCATCATCATTACCCAGAAGCACGTCCTGACATGCATTCCTCGAGCCATGACTAATCCCGGAGCTTCACGTTCCTTGTGGAGTCCCTCGTTCATCAGCGTCCCTTCAGGATCCCGTCGAGCACGCGGTCCCCCTTCTCCGAGAGCCAGTATCCCGCCATCGCTGCCACGCCACCGATGAAGATGGCGGTGAACACCATGTCTCCTTTAGCGGCGAGAGTAGCGAGCGCACAGATCACCACACCGAAGAACATCTGCTGGAGGACGAGCACCTCGTCATCCGTCATGTCATCGAACAAACCCTTCTCTGGACCCGCTGAGAGACACACACACAGCAGCTTATAGAACGAGAGTGGGGCTGGGTAATAAATATCGATTTCTCGATATTAATCGATTCTCGTTTTTCATTTCAAGAATCGATTAGTCATCCTGTTTCATTTGAATGAATGGATTATTGTATCGCGGCTGTCCGCATCCAAAAAAAATCGCAATAATCTTTGTCCTTTGTTACTATTGATGTGAAACAAAGTCTCAATTTTCAAATTACGTCCATTTTCTTTAGAAATTCAAAAACATCAATAGTGTTTTGTCGCTGTGGCGTGAGATCGCTCTGGAGAAGCAGCAGCGCTGATCTCTCTTCCGGCTTAATAATACCAGTTAAACATGAATGAGCATCTGAAAGTGTGTTAAAGATAGAGTACAACTTATCCAAATCCGTATCATGTCACATTGATTCGCTCAATCGGCGTTTCAACCGTGGAAAGACGTCAGTTAAACAGCTTGTAATCAATGTCATCGTCATATTTACCTCAGAAAACCCACATAAACTCGTTAGTCAGCTAGAAAAAATAACTCTAGAGAGGAGCATTTTGCTAAATATTACATTATAATCTTAATGTTCTTCAATATTTAATGCATATTTGAATAAATCTGGCAAGTTTTTATGACAGCCACCATTTAAATGTTTATATTTCATATAATCTTCTTATTATAAAAATAAATAAAAGTGTAATTTAAGTGTTTGTATAGCTACAAAACAGTTCATTATTACCTTCATATTAGGCTAATGAAGCCTATAGGCTACAACTGACTCCCATAGTTTACAGCATTAGTTCAGAGATTTGATTTCCTTGAGAAAAATTGCCATTTATTGTAACTGAAATCCAAAATAATCGATATTGAATCGAATCGTAATCGAAATCGAATCGATTGTAACTGATATCCAAAATAATCGATATTGAATCGAATCGTAATCGAAATCGAATCGATTGTAACTGATATCCAAAATAATCAATATTGATTTGAATCGTAATCGAATCGATTGTAACTGATATCCAAAATAATCAATATTGAATCGAATCGTAATCGAAATCGAATCGATTGTAACTGATATCCAAAATAATCGATATTGAATCGAATCGTAATCGAATCGATTGTAACTGATATCCAAAATAATCAATATTGAATCGTAATTGAAATCGAATCGATTGTAACTGATATCCAAAATAATCAATATTGAAT